GTATTAGTACTCTGAGGTGTGAGTACTTTTACTGCCGGAGCTTTTCTGAGGTCAGGGTTCTGTCAGCTCAGACGGTTTTATTTTCTCCTCAGTAGAACCTGAAGGCAGCATCAAGGTTTGGACAGATGGATTCTTTATTGTCTGTCTTGAGTAAAAACATAAATTCATCTTTAAGACGCCGCTCTGAAGCACTAGAACATAGTCCAGAACCAGAACCAGGCCGCTGACCAGAACACATCCAACAACAGATTAAATCTCTGTGTTGTTGTTCAGGGCAGCTGTTGCAGATGGAGGCCGTTTAGTGAATGTTTTTCTGGGCCGTGGGGTTCTGAAGGACGGTGCAGGTGAGGAGGGAGGGCCCAGGTGAGGAGGGCGGGCCCAGGTGAGGAGGGAGGGCCCAGGTGAGGAGGGAGGGCCCAGGTGAGGAGGGAGGGCCCAGGTGAGGAGGGAGGGCCCAGGTGAGGAGGGAGGGCCCAGGTGAGGAGGGCGGGCCCAGGTGTACCTGTACAGCTCACTCAGAGGCTGTGGAGGTGTTCCAGTTGTTCTGCTGGCCTGGTTTATTCTCCAGGAGAGTCTTGCTCTGTGTCTGGCAGTGAGAAAGCTGAACCAGGATGAGATGTTGGACCTCAGGATGGATCCAGTCAGTGCTCTATGGACCAGAGGTAGAACGTCTGTGTTGAAAGTTCTCCTCTTCCTGAGCAGGTGGAGCTGCTGCCGGGCCTTACTGTAGACAGGGTCAGCGTGTTGTGAGCAGGACATGGAGGTATTTATATCTGTCCAGAGACATCTACACCTCTGGAGCTGCTCCACCAACATACCCTGGACGTTCAGTGGTACCAGTAGACCCACTGGGTTCTCCCCGGTACCCACAGCGTAACCATAACCCTGTGCTTAGTGAGATAAAGCTGCATTGCTCGTGTTCTTGTGGAACCACAGCTCTGATGTCTTAGCAGAACGTTAGCACAACATTAGCAGAACGTTAGCAGAACGTTAGCAGAAATTACCAGAATGTTAACAACTTAGCAGAACGTTAACACAACATTAGCAGAACATTAACACAACATTAGCAGAACGTTAACACAACATTAGCAGAACGTTAACACAACATTAGCAG